TACATGTACACTGTACTTTATTGATATTAACAGAGCATCAGGATACTGTCCTGGCATGAACCTGCCCCCTCCTCTGATACCAAGACATGAGGAGTGAGATATTGTGTTAGCTTGAAGCTCCTTCACAACAGTTTCATAAGGAATCAGCTCTAGCAGGGGAAGGAAGAGAAGGATAGTAAAAATGCAATTTTTATCATGTACAATGTACATGTACATACTGATGTACTTATGCTGTGTAGAAAGGTGGGGTTGATTTCAACTTCAATTTTTCAAGTTACGGGTATTTTAAGAAATTGGCCAAAATCTAAAATGGTTCCAAAATCAACCCAGATTTTTATTACATTTTCTGATACATATTGATGTCCTTATGCTGTGTATAAAGTTTGAGCTGATTCCGACTTCAATTTTTCAAGTTAAGAGCATTTAAAAAGTAGCAAATTTTCAAAAAAGCACATTTTAAAAACATATACACATTACATATTGTAATGTACTGTACCTCCATTTCTCAGAACTGGTGATTCAAAGAGAAGCTCAGAATAAAGTGATAAATAAAATCGTAGTCTTTTCGGCAAACCACTAGTATCCAGAACAGCAGAAAACTACAAATGGGTGTGGTCAATTATTAAAACTATCGTTATTATTATTAAAACTAACCTCCACAAATTTCGTTTTAATGCAATTAACTTGTAAGAAAAATGACAATTTTCCGACCGGAAATCTATTCAACATTTCGGAGACTCCGCCTTCTGGTGTCTCAGAAGCCCCACCCACATTGTGATTAGCGAGGACATTTATGGGATGGAATGAGATAGAATCCGTGGAGGGAACAGGCAAGGAACTAACCACGTCATCAGGGGGAGGGGCCTAAAGTACATGCACATGTATAAATAGGTATAGTTGGGAATTTTGTGATGCAACAAAATTTTAAAGTTTACAACGGAAGTTATAATGGTTGCTACAAATTAAATAGTGAAGTAGAAAAATTTATACTAATATTTAAAAACTGAATACACGTGCTTGTGTACGAGAGGGATCAAGATGTACATGTACTTTTTTCTTTCTGTATTTTTTATTCTTCTCTCTCTCTCTCTCACCTCATTCTGCTTAATGGAGTCTTCAAGTATTTCCTTTTTCTCCTTCAGTCCTTCCTCTTTCAACTCTTCTCTTTGCTTCTGTATCCTCTCCTTCTCCTCTGTCTCCATCTTCTCTGATAATTCAGCACTTGGAGTACCCAGAATCTAATAACAACAACATCAACAATAATAATGATAATAATAATAACAATAATATCAACAGTACTATTTTATTATTATTATTATTTTAATACATAAACAAGATAAGATGAATTATGTCAAGTCAGGTTAAGCATCATTAGTTATAAAATTTAATGAATTAGGTTACAGTATATCCTACAGGTACGTTCCCAAATAGGCCCATAAAGGCTTCTATTACCCATCTTTATAATTCTGATAAAGGCTGCATGGGTTCTTCCATTACACAATACATTGGGGGAATCAATAAGTGTCCTTTATAAAGAGGTTCAGTCTTTATCTATTGCACGTATATACGCACTTCAGTTACGTGATGTTTGGACTAAAGATAAATTCATTAATGATAATTAATTGTAGCAGACAAGTTAATTTGGAATACAATTGGATTTTCGGCTAGCGATAGGATCAATATTGCATTAGATATAAGTGACAATATGGAGATAAGTTAATAATGAGAGACTAATTCATCACAAGCAACTGCAGGAAGACAAAGAGACAGAGGGAGAGGGGAGAGAGAGAGAGAGAGGGAGGGAGGGAGAGAGAGGGGGGAGAGAAAGAGGGGGGGAGAGAGGGAGGGAGGTTTTTTTACCGTTATCCTGTGTGGTGTTACAAAATACTCGGTGATCAGTTCAACCCAGAATGACTCCGTTTCATTC